TTCGTTATTTAAAAACTGTTGCTTTAATTATCTTAAACAAAACTGAAAATCATAAAGAAGACCTTTGTCTCAAAATATATGCATTAATTTTAGCGATTCTCACTTGCTTCTTAAATCTACAACATTTTTAAAAACATAAAATATTAGATCAAGTAAGCACAGAATCAACTTTGCGCTACTGCGCTCGATCGCATCAAAGATCAGACAAATATACACGTGCATCTTGAAAAGCGGATGTTTTGGAAAGTGCTACGCCACGCTTTTGTGCCATCCAGTGGTTTAGATGGAAATAATATCAAAGGTGCCTTTAGCCCCTTTGTACCCTAATCTTTTTTATTTTTTGTCATAAATCAATAGGCCTACTATTGATCACCCTTTATGTGTGTCAGTGTTCCTGAAAAATAATGGTTTTGGACATACAAGATTTATGTCTGACAGCGACAATATAATCAGTATATACATGATCAACTGCTTCTTGTGCAGTCTATAACTAGAGTGCTAGTTTGGCTGATCCCAGACATTCTAGATTAACAGCCGAAATGTTTGTAGAGATGCTGCATGATGAGGAAGTTCAGGCAATACTTAGTCCTGATTCAGAGTCTGAAATATCTGATGCTGATGACCTAGACTACGAGTCACAGGGAATCCAGCTTTCCTAGATGAAGAAGACTCTGTGATGACATCGAAGACTTGTCTGATGAATCCTCTAAGAGGAAACTCAGACCCAGTCCAACAGATTGAGTAAAAATGGTTTGCATTTATTCATGTAAGCGGAGAACATGGAGGTGGCCCATGGTGCTGTGGTGCAGTGTGCTGGATGTTACCACCCTCAGTGCCTACACCAGGGGTGGTCCTGGAGAGCCACAGTTCTGCAGAGTTCAGCTCCAACCCTAATCAAACACATCTGAACAATCTAATCAAGGTCTAAGGGTTACTAGAAAGCTTCAGGCAGGTGAGTTTTTATCATGGTTGAAGCTAAACTCTGCAGGACTGTGGCTCTCCAGGACTGATGCTGACCATCACTGGCCTACACCAACTACACTGCACAACACCCTGATTACACGGCTAGTGTGACCAATGCATGATGGCTATTCATCAAGGAGCTGGTCAAAGAGCTTGTCATGCCACATATGAAGAGGTGCTTGGAGGGAAGACCCCACCTTCAAAACCATATTACAGAGGCAATGGGAAGATGTGGGATAAAAAAAACAAAACACAGTCACCACCCGGCCAGAGGTAAGGGTCAATCGAAGAGGAAGAGGTGCAGGATCTGCCCAGCTGTCAAAGACAGACAAGTCATCAGCTGGTGTTCAGTGTCAGGGAGCACAAACCTGTATTTGTCATTTGTGAGGCATGTAAGCACTGAGATGGCAATTTGAGATGGCGCTGTACCTGTGTGATATTATTTTGTTAGTTTTATTTTCATCTATTTGGTCACATTCACTACAATTAACTACAGTTGCACTACAGACAGTTCAAATTCAGTGTTATCGTTTATCAGTGATATGTGTATGTTATGTGTGACAAAGTGGCAAATAAACAAATTTAAAGTGTTAAACGTGTTGGTCTAAATAACTGCTAAAATAATCATTTTAACAAAATGTCTTTATTCTTTAGTTTTTTTTCATGATTGCATTGATGGGTCATTTTTGACCCATGTGTGTAAACTTGATGTAGTAGCACAAAACCTAGGGAAAAAATAAAATATTAATTTGTGGTCATTGCAAAAAGATATTTTGAATATTCATGAATCATTGAATTTATAGATTTATGTGCATCAAAGGGTTAAAGTTGGTGAACTCCTAACTCCAGCTTTTGGAGAAGTAATTAACCTGGGGGTCGACATACATTTTCCTCTCTGCACTGTTGAAGGCTTGTGTGTTCAATAAATACATGAAAACATAGTTTTGTTTGAGCAGACTGTGTTTCCCTGTTGCTGTGACTCTGAAATCCAAAAATTGTCTTGTTGTGCAATAAAAAAAAAGAGAAATGTTCAACTAGTCCAACAGAGGGACAAGGTTATAAATCAGAACAGCGATTATGAACACAATGGCACACAGCAGCGCTCAAACAAGGACATGGGGAAGCAGAAACATAGCACAACCCCCAAGAAACATACATATACTGTCTGGAGTAGTTTTCATCTTAGATGTGTCCAAGACTTTTCTACAGACCACAACGCTGTCAGATCATCTTTGCAAACATCTTCAGCCCCTTCAACTGTTGAAGAAAATGTTTGGCTTGCTTGTTTTTAACTTTTTGTGTTTTTGGCATCTGATCGGTAAGTTTTAAACTAGTTTTTTAGGCTTCATTAAATATCACTGTGAGATCTAGTTTAAATTTAAATCTGTCATCTCACAAATGCAAATACGGTGTTTTAGTTTTAGTTTATTTTATTAGAATATTAAATGTGTTTAGTGTTCTATAGTGTCAGTCATATGTCTGTCTGAAAGTAAATGTTTTTCATTCACTAATTAAAGTTTAATAAATAAATGAATAACATTTATAATAAATACAATTCATTATAGTTGATAATAAATTAATAAATTAACACATTTTATGTCCCATCAGAATTTCAGACAAAAAGGGCATGAATCTTATTTAAACATATCAAACAAAATGATTTACTTCTCTATTTAGAGAAAATTTTATGTATACAGTGTAACTGGCTTTATTGATTTATATAGTGTTAAACATCAAAATAATCTCATGTTGAAACAATGCCTGTGTGAAAGAAAACATGTACAAGTGAAAGTACAACAGCGGCTTTAAATGAAGGACTAGTTTGTTATCAGTTTGGAGTTTAGAAAACGTAGCCCTTGTGAAAATAGTGCGATAGTAAGGTGAAATTCAGTGACGTGTATATTATTTTTGCTTCATTTTATAAATTTTTGGGGACCAAACATTAAAGGAATTCTCACAGGTTAAGAGAATATGACTGATCATTAACATATATATTTTGTGGACAAAAATCATCACCAGAGATGCTGATCTGCTGCTGATGTGGCTCTGTAAAGACTGTTGAAATCTAAAGCACCTTCGACCACAGATTTAGTCTGCCTGAGCTTAACCCTTGTTGTGTGTTCAAAATTCTATAAAACTTGTGATGTTCCAGGGCCTAAAAAAATTGCTTATAAATCACTCATTATGGTATATTATCACCAAATATTGGATTCAATCTTTTTGTCAACTTCTTTTCTTTAATTTAGGACTGGTTTTGTATTTATATTTGCATCTGATTAATCGTAGGCCTCATTTATCTGAGAGTAGGCACCTCATTTTTTTGAGTAAAAAAAGCATTATTTATGAATAATTATCACAATATTAAATACAAACTGATGAAAATTTGCACTGTTTATCACACTAGTGTGCTTTAATGTTTAATCAAGGAGTTTGTTTTGAAAGGCTTTTATTTTGTACAAAATGGCACAAAGTCACACTTGTGGTGTTCCCGGTCAAAAATGACCCGGCCTCAAAAAATTGCTTATAAATCACTCATTATGGTATATTATCACCAAATATTGGATTCAATCTTTTTGTCAACTTCTTTTCTTTCATTTAGGACTGGTTTTGTATTTATATTTGCATCCGATTAATCGTAGGCCTCATTTATCTGAAAGTAGGCACCTCATCATCTTCGGAACACAAATTAAGATATTTTTGATGAAATCTGAGAGCTCTTTGACCCTCCCATACAGCAATGTAATTACCACGATCAAGGTGCAGAAACGTAGCAAGGAGATCGGTAAAATAATCCATGTGACATCAGGGGTTCAACCGTAATTTTATGAAGCTACGAGAAAACAAAAATAACGACTTTATTCAACAATTTGTCTGCTCCACGTCACCCTGGTGCCATTTTGGAGAATATCCACTGAACGTAAACAGCGTATGCTGTTCTGTGCCAGCTGCGTCACGCGGATACAATGTTTTTTTCTAATCAGTGAATACTCTCCAAAATGGCACCAGGTGACGTGGAGCAGACAAATTGTTGAATAAAGTCGTTATTTTTGTTTTCTTTGCATACAAAATGTATTCTCGTAGCTTTGTAAAATTACGGTTGAGCCCCTGATGTCACATGGATGTTTCTGCACCTTGATCGTGGAGCATTCACTTGTCAATCAACTATCGTGGGAGGGGCCTGTACAGAACTACGTCATTCTGACAGGAATCTCAGAACAGCCTGATTTGAGAAAGGGGATTTAAAAATAGGGATTTTAAAAAAAAAACACTGGGTGGATTTTTGTAATTATAGGATGGATGTGTACACACACTTCCAACTTACCTTTATGTTCAAACATTTGCATCCGATGACCCCTTTAAGAAATGAATTTTTCCTTCAGTAAGATGAATGAGATTTATTGAGTGACTGAGAAACTCTGTTCTCCAGTGTTTGTTGATACAGATGCAGTGAAGACAGTGAAGGAGGGACATTCAGTCACTCTAAACACAAATGTTACTGAACTACAGACAGATGATCTGGTGATATGGACATTTGGATGTTCAGAGACTCTTATAGCTGAAATCAATAAACGAGCTAATATCTACAACACATCTGATGTTCCTGATGGGAGATTCAGAGACAGACTGCAGCTGGATCAGCAGACTGGATCTCTGACCATCACAAACACCAGAACCACACACTCTGGAGAATATACACTAGCCATCAGCGGCAAGACAGAGACCACATACAGATTCAATGTTACGGTCTACGGTGAGTATGAGCAGTGTGAATCATTGGGTATCATTAAAGTGCACCCTAGTGAAAAAAAGTATACTAAGTATACTTGCAGCCAGACTAATTGTCAGTATACTTCAAGTGTGTTAATGATTAGTTAACTTGAAGTGTGCTATTTTGGAACAACTATTTTTTGTACCAAGTATATTTTAGTTGTAATTAAATTATACTAAAGTATAACTTTAAGTGTATTTAGTGAACTTTTATATGCTAAATTGGAACAACTTTAAATATACTTAGTACACTTTAAGTATATGCCCATTTACATGCTTGATTTGTGATATTAAAGTGTACTTTTTTGTATTACGAGTACATTACAAATTAATTATGAGTGTCTTTGAAACACACAAGCAATATACTATAAATGTATTATTTTTGAGTAAAAATATGCAAATTTTCCCCCAATGCTGAATCCACTTTTTAAGGTCATTACAATAAATACATAACTTCAATGACTTAGTGAACTTTTATATGCTAAATTGGAACAACTTTAAATATACTTAGTACACTTTAAGTATATGCCCATTTACATGCTTGATTTGTGATATTAAAGTGTACTTTTTTGTATTACGAGTACATTACAAATTAATTATGAGTGTCTTTGAAACACACAAGCAATATACTATAAATGTATTATTTTTGAGTAAAAATATGCTTATTTTCCCCAATGCTGAACCCACTCTTTAAGGTCATTACAATAAATACATAACTTCAATGACAGACAGAGACAAAATATTAATAATTCAAACAGTGTTATTTAAACCTCAAATGGTTTTAGCATTGCAAAACATAAAATGCACCAACCATGTTTTTAAATAAAAATAACGCTGAAAGAAACAAACATAAAAAATAAAAACATTTTGTAACAGCAGCAACACACAAACTTCAATTTTTTGCTGAATTTGATAGATTTTTTTTTTGATACTTTATTTCGAACATGTAAAATAAATACAATAAAACAAAACGAAAACAATACAACACAATACAAAACAATTTTTAATTATACATCCAAAAAATATTGCAATTCTATAAAGAATTGCCCTTTGTTACATTTGCGCCTGATGGCCACTCACACATCAGATGTACTTGTGTGTGGAAACTCCACAAGAACAGCATCTGTTAACAAAGTAAAAGATGTAAGGTCAGAGGGCATGTTCATACAGCTTTTTCTTTTTACTACACCAGACTGTAAATCTCCTGTATTAAACCCATACTACTTAATAGAATGAACATCGTGATTAGCAGTGAGGAATTGTATCAGTATGTCACGTCAATACTGCTTCCAGTGTATTAGTCAAACTTACAGTATACAACAGAAGTGAGTACACCAATGTAGCATCACTATAAATCACATGATACAACACTATTCAAGGTGAAAAGAATAGTATTTATAGTACAGGTCAGGCTAAATTGTAATGTAGACATGCATTTTTTGTAAAGCTGCTTTGATAAGTTAGTGTACTCTAAAATAAGGGCAAAAAGTGCAAAAACAGCAGCAGTGCACTGACCCTAGACTTGGTTGACATCACCTCTCCATCTTCAAAGACAATCAAAACATCCAGTGGGTTCCCTCGTGACATTTCCTCTTCTTCCTCAACAGCAATAATGGGGACTGCTGCCTTCTGCACCCGGTCAGGCTCCTTTTTCTAAATGCATTAAAAAAAATTGTTAGTATATGTCACAACAAATCATAAAATTAACCCTTGTGTGGAAAGACATTTAAATTTTCATAACTGAAAATAAAGGTGTTAAGGATCAGAGTAGTGTTTATTCAGTAGGACCTGTGCCCATTTAAAACCCTGTAGTACTTTTCAAAAACTTGTAATTAAATGTCTTCCTGAGCTGTTGGTCAACTGGATTTAATTGGGAAAAACTTTCAGGGGTGTATCAGCTGAATGTTCTTGAGCTTGAATTGAATTGGGCTTTTATTAATAAAACATCCAAATAAATATAAATTAATAAATATAAATAATAAATCAACACACTTTATACAAACCCAAAGCAACTTTAAGATAAGTGCAAGTGGAAATATAACACAAAATACCATTTTTTGTCATCTATATTAAGAAAGCCTACTATAACTATAACTCATATTATTTTAAAGCATAATGACTCTGAATCAGAGGCAAACTGAAATTGAATATGTTATTCATTCTGCCAATACAGTCTGAATAAAAAATGGTGGCACACTACATTACATCAAACATCACTGATCCTTGGATATCATGATGTCATTCATGTGGTGTGAAAGAACCAGTATTTGTCTGGGCTGTGTATGTATGCATGAGTTGATCAATGTTCAGATTTAAATTACATTCTAAAATATTTTACTGCTTCAGAAGACCCATTTGTGCTGCTAAATTTGCAAAAACTAGGGGTGCTCCAATCAGGATTTTTGAGGCCGATCGCCGATCACAGAAAGCAGTATCTGCCGATACCAATCACCGATACCGATCTTTTTAAAGCCTTCTTTTTATCATTTATAACTATTTATAGTTACAGGATACTCCAATCAGGATTTTTAGACATTTATTCAGGGCCTGAATTTCATTTCTGAAAATGGGGGGGAATTCCCCTCTTAGGTGTCTCTTGTGAGAGGGGAAGCAGCACGGACTGTGCTTTCACATAAGAGTTTACTGATCCGTGTTTACCACAATCACAACATTTATCCATTATTTTGATTTCAAATCCAAACATTGCCACTGAAAATGCTTTTTCAGAATTGCAATTCCTTTTTCTTTCTTTTTTTTTACACAGTACAGTAATACAATCTTTCACAGACATGTTTAAACACAATAAATATAAGCAATACATTATTCAATGCTTTTTACTTTTGCATTTACTTCTAGATTTATATATTAAGTTGCTCAAGCAATTGGCAAAACATTTAAACTACTTTTCTTACGTTATCACAAACTTACCATTTACAGAAACAGTCAGCTCTACTGCCTTTCCTTTTGCATTTAAATCTTTACTACAAGCAATCCTGCGGTTCATAAAGATAACTTTGTTTTCCTACCTCCACGAGTGCCATCTATTATTGCCTTCTTTATCTAAAAGTGCTCTTTCCCTTTAAACCTAGCCAAAAAGCCATATGTGTTGACTGTGAAACACAGTAGACTTTAATAATATGCATTTATGGTGTAATTACTACATTTTCGTGTCAATACATGTTCATATGTAAACAATGATCTGTTACCGCTGGATCGCAACCGAGTGCAGTGAATGCTTTAATCTGTTAACATGAGCGCAGAAAAAATACGCACCACGTATGCACTGCAAACGGAGTAATGTGAACCTGGCGTTATGTGTGCGCTGCGAGTGTGCATGAGTGTACGGTCTTCAGGAGAGCGCGCGAGCGTTGAATAGTTAAACACTGGCAAGAATTAAAAAGAAATGCAATTTATAAACTTTAGTGACGATGTGACACTGCCTCGACTGTGCAAGTGACAATTCCTGTGTCAACTGTGCAGCTCGCTTTTAGACAGATGATTTGAATCCATTTGTGTATTTTGAGAGAGAATGAGTGAAAGTGCGCGCACGGTGATTCACTCACACTGTTTGTGAAATTACGTCTCACACAAGGTTTTCAAATGACTTTATTTAATGAAAAAATATGAAGGCGAGTACCTCACCTTCAGCATTATAATTATTTCACTATAATTATAATTTATCACTATCGGCCGATAACCGCTTTGAGCCCGCACTGGACAGAGACTGAGTGCCACTGCATGTCATGCCAAACCTCTCACGGTAGCGTCATCAGCTTGAGATTAGTTTTTTGAGATCGGCCTTTTAGAGACCGCCGATCAAAAATCCCAAAGCGGTTATCGGCCGATAGTGATCGGTAGCCAATCAATCGGAGCACCTCTAGCAAAAATAGCAATTCATCCAAAAATGAAGAAATACTTAAAGGGGTCATATGACGTTGCTAAAAAGAGCATTATTTTGTGTATTTGGTGTAATGCAATGTGTTTATGCGGTTTAAGGTTAAAAAAACATTATTTTCCACTTAATGTACATTATTGTTGCTCCTCTATGCACCGCCTTTCTGAAACATCGATTTTTACAAAGCTCATCGGTCTGAAAAGTGAGGTGTATGCTGATTGGCCAGCTATCCAGTGCATTGTGATTGGCTGAATACCTCAAGCGTGTGACGGAAATGTTAGGCCCCTTAACATACTGTGATGCCCTGTGTCCTGGCGCAATGAGACAAAAACAATAAAACCCATAACAAACGAGGCATTTTTTGCATCCAGTGGGGACATAATTACTGATTATAATGACTTATACTGTCTTTTTACGCGTTGCGTTGCGGATCGCGCTGCGTAAACATAAAACCATGTCTGGAGAAACGACAAACAACAAGCGCTATACACCATGAAAGTAAATGTATTTGGTAGTTTAAACACCTTTATTATGACCATGTTAGCTGATCTATAGCGGGTGATGGGCGCCACCATGTTAGTTCGTGCTGAATCCGAGCTGTGGGATTTACAACACATAAATTCATCCTCTCCTCCCGAAAGACATTAGTAAGTTTCCGGTGAACTGGGAGAAGAGTAGACCTAAACTTTAAAGTTACCTATACCTACACAATGTGTATATGATATTAAAAATGTCGTCAAATTATAATTGAATGGATTATTATTGCCACTTCCATAGACATCAGTGTGTATTTTACTATAAATGTATTGTTTTGCTAGTACTTATGTGTATTTAGATGTCTGAAACCTAAAACAAGCATTATATGGTTGAAAACACTGAATATTTATGATAATATGACAAGCGCTCAGCGTGTCCGTCTCTGGCTCAGAGCCAGGAAAAACACTAATGCAGATTTGAATTCAGCAGCTGATCACGTGACGCACTGAACTTTCTAATCACACCGGTGTGATCGTACGCTCCAGGGACTAGCCAAGACTGATCACACCGGTGTGATCCATAGACTGTATAAAAACATGGAAGTAGTGTCCATGACGTCACCCGTAGATTTCCAAAGAGCGTTTTTGAATCTCAAAAGTGGGCGGAGGCGGCCGTCGCCATCTTGGCACTCCCGGAAAATCGAAAATGGGCAAAGAGGCGGAGCTGGTTGAAGCAGGTTGTTGAAGCCAAGCCCACCTAGCGCGACAGTGGAGACAGCAGCGGCAACCCACCTGTCACTCAAGTGACCACACCCTTAATTATGCAGAACTTTAAGGCTTAATATAATTTAAACTGATGAATTTAAAAAAGTTCACCCCCCTCACAGTTGTCATGAAGGGCAAAATTAGCTATATAGACCAAAATAATTTTTTTGAACCAGGCTGTTAACATGTTTTTTTCTGCTGTAAAGTTGGGTATTTTAAAGGGGTCATATGATGCGATTTCAAGTTGTCCTTTCTCTTTGGAGTGTTACAAGCTGATTGTGCATAGATAAGATCCCTGAAGTTGCAAAGACTAAAGTCTCAAAACCAAAGAGATATTCTTTATCAAAGTTAAGACTCTGCCACGCCCCCCTAAAATGGCTCGTTCTAACACGCCCCCACATATCTACCTCACTATGTGGAAATATTAGCATAATGCCACCCAAATGTGCACGCAAAGAAAGAAGGCGTGGTTTCAGTAACCGCAGTTAGTGTTGAAGCAGCCATGTCAGGGAGACGCTGTGTGTTTCTAGGCGAAAGCAAAAGCACTTTATTTGGTCTTCTGAAAGTAGATGCATTTAGGAATCTTTAAGATTACTTACAACAGAACAGCAATGCATTTTATGGATGACCGTTTCGTGAACCTAGGAGAGGAGGTAATTCTGACTTTGCTATGACAATCTGGCGCTTCTGAATCAGCTACTGTTTTGTTATTAGTTTAAGTATTTGCTATTGACTGTTCAAATGCGGAGTTTTGCTCATCGTATGTGTGTGTGTGTGTGTGTGTGTGTGCGTGCGCGCGTGTGTGAGAGAGACAGCAGAGAGACCAGCTTCATCACTGTGTCGGTCACGCGACTCTGTTCCCCTTTCGGGCTCTGTCTTTACATTTATTTTGAAAGATGAAGCTGGCGATTATGGTAAGGGGCGTTACATTTCCGACGAGTGCTTGCGGTGTTCGGCCAATCACAATGCACTGGGTCAGCTGGCCAATCAGAGCAGACTGCACTTGTCAGAAGGAGGGACTTTGTAGAAAACTAAGCGTTTGAGAGAGGCGGGGCATAGAGGACCTACAATAATGTACAGTATTTGAAAAATAATGTGTTTTGTGAACATTAAAGCATGTCAACATATTCTGTTACACCAAATACACAAAATAATGATCTTTAAAAAAGCATCATATGACCCCTTTAACATGGGGAGTCTATGGGATTGACTCCCTTTTGCAGCCAGCCTCTAG